AGTGTACCATTCACAGAACAAGGGTTTCAATTCATCTTTGATTCACTCCAACCCCTGGGTCATCCTACTTCATTAGATAGCTTTCTATAACAACTTGCCCTCAGTATCTGTGGAGGGATTGCTTCCAGTACCACTGTCACATACCAAAACCCACACATGCTCAAATTCTTAGATAGAACTGTAGTATTTGCATGCATCCCACACTCAACGTCCTGAATGCTTTAACTATCTGTACATTACTGAACGTAACTGATGTATATATGTCCTATGCAAATAATTGTTACCCTGAACTACAGTAGTTTAGGGACTAATGACAAGAACAAATGCCTGTACCTGCCCAGTAAAGATGGGTTTGTAGAACTGGGCATGGTGGTGGATATTGATGTAAAGCACCCAGAGGCTAAGGCAGGAGGATCATGAGTTTGATGCCAGGTTGGGATGTGAGACTGTGTCTCAAAACATTATTCAAAGAAATAATCCAATCTGCAGTTGGTTGAATTTGCTTTGTGGTACCTGTGAATTAGTCATAGTTCTTATCTTACCTTGCCCTGGCTAAATCTTTGATATAGCCCTTCTCATTTTTCTTTTACTTCCCTATTTATCTCTACTTCCTCTTTTGTCTCTGTTTCCTCTTTTGATCCTCTACTGTGTGAGCTCTGCTTAGAATCGGGAAGAGAGTAAACTATATAAACAGAATTACACTAACAGAGAAATGGCTGATATTAATGAGAGTGTCCTGTGATTGTCCTGTTGTGCACTTAGTGTGCGTTGTTAATTCTCGTAAAGGCTCCATATAGCAAATGCTTTGTAGATGAGGAAAAAGGGTTGATTTTAAAATTAATTGATGTCCTTATCAGCCTAAAGCCATCTTAATACAAGACATTCCAGAAACTCTAGCTATGGCTTAAGATAATGTCCTATTTAGTCCAGATCCCTTCAGTAGAACTGACTGGCAAACTTGGTAGGGGAAAGAGCTCTCCAAGAACATGGACTGTTTTAAAATTAGGTAAGGCAAGAGGTTCTTAACACAATGCAGAGATACCCTTTTCTTTCTCCACCCCCCTCTCCCCTTCTCTTCCCCTCCTTTCCCCCTTCCTTCCTTCCCAGAAGAGACATTGAGTGACACTGCTAGATCTCAGTGTTTCATACAGGACTCAGTATGTAGCTTCCCCCTCTGTCTTCCCCTCCCCCTCCCTTCCTCTTCTTCCCTCCATTTTTTTTTTCTTGTTGATCATGGGGTTTTGTTCTCTGGTTCCTAATTAAAAAAAAATGTGCTTAATGAATGGGTTTATTTGTTTTAATTCCCTTTCCAAAACCTACTTGAGGCTTCTTAGGACTTAATAACATGAATAAAATATGAAAAAGTAGTTAAGATTTTAGAGGAAGATTAAACGAGTGGCTAGCTATAGGAATTTAGCAGAATTTTGTGACTAAGACATTTTCTATCCACTTCTTGGCAGTCAGGGCAAGATAAAAAGCTGACATAGGAGCTCCTAGATGCTGTTCTTTTTTAATCAGAGACAGAAAAACAGTGGACCTGAGAAAAAGGAGAGGAACTGGGATGAGTAGAAGGAGGGAAAACTGTAATGAAGATATATATGTATATGTTATGAGAAAAGAATCTATTTTCAATATATGGAAAAAAGGAAAAAGAGGAATAGACATTTGGAATTTATAACAAAGTTGACATAGTTGTAAAAAGTAGAAAAGAGGAAGTGCTTAGCAAGTACTGAGAGGTGGCTATAGCCCTTCAACTGTGAGGCTTCCTGGGGGTTATATGTGATAGCGGTATCCTTGGCAACAGCTTCAAACAAACACTTATGTGGTTTCAGTATTACCCTTCCTTGTAGTTGAAGACACAGCCTTAAAGACAAGCCCAGTGAAGCAGGCTTTCAAGATGACATGAAATTGAGCATCTCTTAGCAGACCTACCATTTCTCATCCTTGCTTTTCTTCTCATTTCTACACCCTCTCCTTTAGAGACCTCTGCCACAGCACTGTGTGATGTGAGAATTCCATCCTTTATCTACAGCATCATTCACTTCTCATTTGTTGACTGAGAAACTTAGAACTTTTACTTGATGGAAGCCCCTTGAGATCTGCCCTGTCTTAGTCTGGGTTCCAGTTTCCCTAAACTGACACTGACTAAGAAGAGCCTGACAGCTTGGATACTTACTGTCACAGGTGGCACACACTTGCCTCATATGTGTGCCCATATGACTGGCTCTGGGCAAGGAACACTTTCTCTCTATGTCTCTGTGACACAAAAAACAATGGACCACTGTGTAGTATGCAGGAGCAGGCATGTGGTAGGCACATTTAGGGATAGAAAACCTTGACGTGTTCTCGTACCCTAAGTGAAGTAGCAGTGGCTGGAAAAGACTGTGAATCCCACAATGATGGGTTCGTTCCTTCTACTCAGGCTTGCTCATGTTTCTGGCTCTTACATGCAGTGGTGAGTGGGTCTGAGCCAATGGGAGGGCTATTTTTACCACACAGATTCTGTTTGTATAAGCTTGCACATCAGTTGTCTCTCTCCTTCTTGACAGCAAACATTAATGCTTGAGGACACACTGCCACTCATTTTGAGGAAATACCAAGTATTTGATATTTATCTGCATTCCGGCAAAATCAGTTTCAAGTTGTTTCCATAGATGTCAAACATAAATATTTACACAAAACAAGCTTATACATTATGGTATTTACTCTGTCATCTGTGGAGCTATGACTATTTCCTATGGAAGATTGAAAGTTTTGTTGAGCAATTATTTTGTAGTAGGCACCAGGTTCAGAGCACAAGGCTACACCAGCAACAGGAGACACTGCATCTATTGTAAATCTCTAATCTGAGAAGTGAAAAGTTTCAATTGAATTATTTAGGTAAGTAATATGTTACAAGGAACTATGTCTTATAGTAAAATTTGAATATAGATATGACTAGGAGTTAAGAGTTTAGTGAAAGGCTAAGAGTAGATAGATTTTTAAACCAAGCATCAAAGGAGTCAGGCGGCCTTGTTTGGAAAATGTATTGAAACAGGAAACATGGTGAGGTTTATTTATACCTTTAAATTTGTGCTGTGTTTTCTAGAAGATTCATGAAATGGAGATTGGATATCTTTGAAAAAAATTTCATAATGCTATTAAGATTTAATCAATGAGTTACTTTTAAAATGTATGAAACATGGTGCATGGCTCATTGAAACATTCTGGTATATTTCTTATTAATTTTATGTGTCATAACTACATGTTACACACACAAGTACATACATATAATCTACACGTGAAATTCTTTGTAAGACTCCAGAATGCTCTTTGAAATTAGGATGATATTATTTTTATAATTTAACGCCTTTGTTTGTCATCTGCAGTGGTGAGAACATTATTTATGTTTTCTTTAAAGGACATTAATTCTCCTGATAGTTTCAGATTTACATTTAAAAGGATTCTTTTGCTTTTAATGAAAACTAAGAATTAAAAAATATTTTATGAATATCTTTTATAAACCTTTAAAATTAACAATTCAAACTAGGTGTGGTTGACACACACTTGTGATTCCTGTACCCAGGAAATTAAGACAGAGGGGTACCTAGTTCAAGACCAACCTAGACTGCATAACAAACAAACCCACTTGCCGGGCGTTGGTGGTGCATGCCTTTAATCCCAGCACTCGGGAGGCAGAGGCAGGTGGATCTCTGTGAGTTCGAGGCCAGCCTGGTCTCCAGAGTGAGTGCCAGGATAGACTCCAAAGCTACACAGAGAAACCCTGTCTTGAAAAA